CCGGGTTTAGGGTTTAGGGAATCGAAGCAAACCGGAGCATCGAGGTTCGTGGGAGGGGAGCTCGCTTTTGCCCCGGGCAATCCTTGAAACCCAAACTTCCGGTCACGCCTGGGAGTTCATCTGGTAGCGCTTCACCACGTAGGAGGAGACAGAAACATCTATGTCCACAATCCTGCAATGATGAGCCGGGACAGGGAAAAATCTTGCACATGTACATACCATACCATACCCCATCCTGCCATAACATTACATTGCATGACATGACATGACAGGACAGGACAGGACAGGACAGAACAGGACAGGACACATACATACATACATACATACATACAGACAGACAGACAGACAGACAGACAGACAGGCAGACAGCCAGGCACACAGACAGACACACAGACAGACACACAGACAGACAGACATGTACACACACAAGCACATACAGAGATGCATACAGACATCCATCCATGCATGCATGCATACATACATACATACATACATACATACACAATCTATATATATATATATATGTGTGTGTGTGTGCGTGTGTATGTGTTTGTATATATGTAGATGTCTGTGTATAAATACAAGAACCGTCGACCACTTTGCATCTGCCCCCTCTGACTGCGGGAGTCCCGAAGCTGACTGTCATGATCAGGACACAGGTGGTCAGCCACCAAGATTGATGGTCTGACCGAGTCTGCACATACCTGCGAGGCTCCTCTCTCCGGCTTGCAGGGCTTGAGGGTTTGGGATCTTGCTCTGCCTTGGAAGGGTCTTCTGGGCGTTTTTGACATGCCACGGTCGGATGATGTCTCCGCACACCCGGGTTGGCTTTCGGGGCTGTTCCGTCTTGGTCTTACATCACGCGCCTTCTCAAGGCCCTGTCTGAAGTTTCCCAAACTTTTGATGGAACAGGTGCCGGTTGAGGGCTGACGTCCTAGAAGCGCTTGATCGGCACATTGCCAGGGAATAATGCACTCAAGTAGGGACTGCTAGGGGGTGCTAGTACCAAATTATCCAGATTTTTCTGGTGGCCAGTTTGCGTATGGTATGGTATGCTTCAACTGTCCATGATCCCAGAATGCTGCCTGAAGAGCAGCGGCATTTCACATCCGACTAATTATCCCAAGAGCATACCGGTGGCTCAACCAGCGGCATCCTGATCTTGTCCCCTACGTAAACTTGCACAGGGCACTGTGCAGAGATCATGGCGTGAACGAGGAGGAAGGGAACGCCAGTCAGCAGCGCGACCGGGGTGATGCGCTGCGCACGGAGCCATTCAGGGTTTCGAACTCAGTATGGTTTAGCATTTGGCCTGTATCCTCAGCCTTGTGACTTCTGTGGCCTCCACAAGTATTTCAAATTTACCTAAGTGTCGACATTCATGCTGCGGTCTTGCTCCCAGCCAGGATTTTGCTTACCTGATAGTCGCAACAGAGTTAAACACCACAGCAAGACAGTTAGATACCAGGAAAAGTCGCAGTACTGAGTGGAAGCTCGAGATCTGTAAGTTGGAAATGGGCAGAAGTAGCAGTGGTACCAGCACCCATCAGGCACGAATGTCAGGACCCCAACTGATAGCAACAACATCAGCAACCATCGAACACGCCCACGACACAATGGCATGAGGCGGAGAACTCCTCTGCTCTTAGCAGACGAAGATGCCCAGGGTTTCAAGCTGTGGAAGGCTCAAGAGACTTGAAGCAAGAGGGTGTGTCGAGCGAAGGGTTCGGACTTTCGGGTTTGGGATTTAGCCGTTGGGATCCAACCAAAGCTACGGCCAACCGAGGGTAACAATCGAGGTCTCCTCGATAGGACGCTCTTACTCCCGACGATTGACCCCTGCCACCCGAGGTTCCGTGGGTCCGACCGCCCTCAATCCTCGAAAACTTCAAGCCCGAATGCAGCCTCAAATTCCCCAACCCGAAAGCTCTCAGAGCCTGCGAGACACTCCGAAGCCTCGGCAGCGCCAAAGTCGTGCAGGCTAGAAGCATTGGCCGCCCGGTCGTCATATGTGGACTCCTCGAGATGACATGTCAGGGTTCTCCAGATGACATGTTAGGGTTCAGGGCATTGCGCCCAACCGTGAAATCAGGGCGGTGGAAGTGGCTTCACCACTCAACCCCGTCCTTCCGCGCAACACCGAGATCGTTGTCAGACATCTCGATCACAACCTGCAACAACTATTCGTGTACAAACTGAGGAGGCATCCGTCGCGAGATGCAGCAGCAAGGAGAGAGTTCAAACGGACAGAAGTGTGGAAAGATGCATCCGATGGTTGCTTCGCAACGGCCTCGGCATCGTGCATCTGCCGGGACCATGCACGCTTCACCTGCTGCAAGGATTTGAAGCCTTCGTCTCTCTCAAGCTCAAGCTGGCGCGCCACTTCTGGCCTGAATGACTTGGCAGCAGCCAAGGAAGAGAAAGGAGAGGATGGCCACCGAAACCTTCGCCCTGCAGGAAACGAATCTGAAAAATGGACTTCAAGGTCCCTCTTTTTCGATGAATGACCTGTGATAGCACGCATAAGGCTGCTGCCATCCAGAGGTGTTGTGTAGGATGAGGAGTACATCTGCATCATGAAACCTCCAGTGCTACATTGACAGAGCCGGGAGTCATCGAAAACGGAACATCTTTTGTGACTTCCAGGGCAATGGCGTGATGTAGATGGACAGAAGAGCACCGATAACCTGCACAGGATGCAAAAAAAGGCCGTTCCTGGCGGCTCCGGTGCTGAAGCTTCGAAGTCGCAATGAACAGAAGAGCACAGGATTTCCAGCGCACACCTGTAAGGGCACCAACCAGACGTAGGCTGGAATCTCCAGCCCGGATTGGATGTACTCGGCAATGCTCCACATCTCAGCAGTACAGGGCTAGCTTCTTAAGTATCTGGCCACCTCAAACAAGGAGTCAAGCCGTGGGCCGATTCGTGATTCTGAGATCTGTCGACTCAAACTCAATAAACATGACCCACTAGACTCGAAGAGGTTGCTCATTCCGCTCGAGTCGGGCTCCCACGCCGGCCGACTCTCTGCTTTACAAGCCCTCCCAAAGCCTATAAAGATCGGAATCTTGAACCCCAAAAAAAGCCTGGGGGGGGGGGGGGGGGTGGTCTTGGGCCCTCACCCGGAGTACGAAATCCCCGAGGTGTACCAGCGTGAAGGCGAGAAAGCCACCATACCCTGATCAGGCTGAGAGAAAGACGGCATGACCCTGCGACATCATGTGTGTGCGGGCGTGTACAACTACCCAAACATATGTGAAGACATGCACATGTACACAAGCATCTGTACCTTCGATTCGGTGCATTTATATGTAGGTATATACATATGTGCATGTACGTGTATACATATAGATATACATATATATATATGTATGTATGTATGTATGTATGTATGTATTTATGTATTTATTTATTTATCTATTTGTTTATTTATGTGTGTGTGTGTGTTGTCAGTTAGATCTTGATATGGAAAATATAGATACGGATACAGATGCAGATACACATACAAATGTAGATATCGACAGGTACAGATATAGATGCAGATGCAAGCATAGATTCAGATGCAGATACAGATAGATATAGATACAGACACAGCTGTAGTTGCAGATTTTGAAACAGGTACAGATATAAATATAGATAGAGAGAGAGAGAGAGACAGATAAAGATAGAGATACAGATAGAGAAAAAGATACATACATGGACACAGATATGGATATGGATATAGATATAGCTATAGCTGAGAGAAAGACATAGATACAGATATAGATGTAGATATAGATATAAATATAGATATAGATATTTGTACATACCTGTCTGCACGTATAGGTGCAAGTGTTCTTTATGCATGCATGTATGTATGTACGTGTGTACGTGTGTGTTTGTGTGTGTGTGTGTCTCTGTGTGTGTGTGTGTATGTATGCGTGTGTGTGTGTGTATGTATGTGTGCATATCTAGATCTCTTACAACCCTTGTAGAACTACTATGTAACCTTTATGCAAAACACTCTAATGCCCCAAAAGCACGAAGAACTCTGAAGCCCAGACAGGCTGAGCTTCGGACATCCGAACGCAGCCCGCCAGCACTTCGCCATGAGATCTGGAAGGGTCGGACTGGGATTGGGCTTTGGGCTTAGGTGTAGGGTGCGAGGATCTAGAATTTAGGTACAGAACTCTAGCATTTCTTGGTTTAGAGCCAAGGACTGCAGGTCAAGGACTGTAAGTTACAGATTGCAGAGTTTAGGGTTTCAAGAGTTTGTGATGCCGTGCGCTGCCGACTGCTATGCGGCACAGAAACTCTCCACCACGAGCCTAAGCAGATTTCAGGAATTGGTGTCCGAGTTTTTGGTTGGGTTTTCCAAATGTTTATGGTGGGTGTGAGACTTGTCGGAGAACTTCTTCTTTTAAATTTAAAACACTTCATATGCTTATGGTTGGGTCTGAGGCTCGTCGGAGAAGAACTTGAAAAGTCTGCCGTTGCTCGCAGTCTCAGAGCCGGGCCTCTTCGGATGAAGCTCCTGTGGGCTCAGATCATATGTTGTAGTATACTATGGTATATATGAGAGTATATTATATTATAGTATGTTATAGTATATCATGGTATATTATGATAGTAGATTATGATATATCATAGTATATCATAGTATATCTTAGTTTTGTGATAGTAGATTGTAGTATATCATAGTATATTCTCAGTATATTATAGTAGGTTATAGCATATTATACGGAGTCTGGCTCGCTCCCGTTCTACTCACTCCCGAGGGGTATGCGCACAAGTCCTAAACCCCTGCGGCTTGAACCGAAACCCACAAACCTCAAACCCCTGAAGCCGTACGCCTTAAACCCGAACTGCCATACGCACGCCTTAAACCCGAACTGCCATAAGGGCACCTTGATCGCGGCGGCGGACTTCGCGAGCTGCGGCCTCGAGCTATTTGCCCCCAGCTTCCGAGACATAAAAGCACGGAGTTCACCCTCAAATTCTCTGCCCGAGAGTTTGGGGGCTGGGGTTTAGGAGTCTGACTATGGAAAGATGACTATGACTGTGATGATCGTATTGAAGACAAATAAAACAAAACAGGTGACAGCAAGACCAAGCATCGAAATAGCAATCATGTCAGCTACATTAGGAGAAACAGTGTAAATGACATCGTTACATCAGTGAGTATCGTGTAATGTGTAAAGGAAACAGGCAGAGAACCCTCCAAAAAAGCAGACTGCCGATCGCAGCTGGACATGTGAAGTGATCGGCTGGGCGACGCGTCTCTGGTCAGATGCCACAAACTAAGCCTTCCTGCTCGAATCTGTGTTTGTGGAGGCGTCCGTGCCGGCACGGGATCGTCTCGGAGTGACCTCACCAGACTGAGCACAAGCCACATCACATAAGATGCTCTTCATTAATTGAAGCCCCTCATGATGAGTTCTATTCCGCGCGGCCCACGAATCTTGAAGGAGAGGTACCAGAGCAACGCCATTCTCGCCGCATAAGCAGAGCTTCCCACCAGAGCTTCCCGGACCCTAAACTCGAGCCACGAAGCCCCAACAAAAGCGCCAAAACAAATGCTTAAATCCCAGCACCCTGGAGCTCCAAAAACCACAAGACATTGAAGTCGAAGCCCCAAAAGCCCTCGACCCTTCCAGGGTCCCTACCTGGCTTGGTCGCGGCTTTGGCGACGGCTCGGGCGTGGCCTTGGCAGAGAAGGTGGCGCTGCTCGCCGCTGCCTGGGGGGCTGAAGGCGTTTCAGGGAGGGTTCGGATTTAGCATTTAGGGTTTAGGGTTTTGGGTTTAGGGTTTAGGGGTTTGGGGGTTTAGGGTTTAGGGTGTAGGGTTTAGGGTTTTGGAGGAGAGGGTTTAGGGTTTAGAGGCTTAGGTTCAAGGCTGAGGGCTGAGGGCTGAGGGTTTAGGGTTTGACGCCGGCGATAAGAAGAGATCACATGTGCTTACGTGCGAACAACATCCATCCATGAATGCAGACAACAGACAAGCAGGCAGGCAGACAGACACACAGAAAGAATCCACGCTTTGCAAATAACAAAACTCCGGGGCCAGCGGGCCACCGCATCCTCGCGTTCTTTCAGCTGCCGCCGTCGCTCCTTGCGTGAGGTGCAGGCGCGCAGACCTCTGGTTTGACTTGTTTAAGGGGCCTCCTACTAAGGGTCCACGACTATTTTGGGCCTCTTGTTCCCAAACTGAAGAGAAGCAGAGTCATAAGAATCAGAGCTCTGTCTTTCTTCTGTACCTGAGGCCCTTGAGAGCTGCAAGTGAGAGGGCCCCAAAGCTTGGGCTCGAACTCCGAAATCTCAGAGACCTCTATTTTGTCGTTCAGAATTTAAGAAGTTCAGGCTTAGGGCTCACCTTTTCTTGGGTGTCTGTGCTACCACGAACTGTCGTGTCTACGGAAACCCACTGACGGTCGGCGGGTCCTCCCCGCGTCGAGCGATCGTCGCACTGACGTCCTCTACAACCCAGGCTTCATGAGACGGATGCGGGTCGTGGGGGACCTCTTCAATAATCATTGCCTTGAAAGGCAGAGGACTACTCATGCACGACCTCGTCGTCGGAGGAGTCGCCCAAGCCGCCTTCCCACTCCTTCTCCACCTGTGCAAGGCCAGTTGCTTCCCTACCCTCAACACCGAGACACTGAAGCCCCCGAGCCCCAACTAAATTCTGCAGGGAGAAACCCCTCCTGACCCACAAACCCTAAATTCCAGCCAGTGCAGCCTTGAAGGTGTTCAAGCAGCAGTAAACTGAATTCCGTTGCAAAATGTAAGCTTTTGTGATAACAGTAGTGACTGCGAGGGTGTATGATAGCGATGTCGATAACGACAGTGATGGTAATGGCGGAAGTGATCGCTACATTCATACTTGCAGTGACTTTCGGTTGCGAGATTAGCATGACTAGCCGCTGAAGAAGCAGAGCAGGCTATTGCCCATGCGTCTTTTTGATGAGGCTTGTCACTTGCTGCTGACGGGTGAGATTTGGCAAGCAAAAACAACCCGACGTGATCACCATCTGGCATGATGCCTTTCTACCACGCCCATGGCATCCTTGACCACCACTCTTCGGCCATCCTGCAACAGCACGGAGCCCTCGAAGATCCCGTAGGGCTGTACGAAATTGTTGGCCAGAACGCCCGCATTCACTTCGACCGCACGGAAGCCAAGGGGTTTACAGGTCAGGTCAAGTTGGACCTTGGCCTCCTTCCGAGATTTCACGAGCCATGCATCCGCGAGTAAATCTCGATCAGGGATCACGATGTCCACGATACCATCGACAGGGTGCACCGTGCCATCAATCCAAACTGCGTTTTCGACAGAGCCATGCTCAGGCACATCGTACACCCACTCGCTCAGGTTGATTCCTAGGTCTACGTCTTTGCCATCAACTTGAGCTCGCACTGAGAGTGAGACCCATTTCCACCTGGTCTCGTGCTTGGCCAAGGAGTACGTCCAGTCCAAAGAGCCAAGACCGTTGACGAAACTGTGATGCTTTCCGTCGATGCTTACGAAGCCAGTAACAGGCAAACCTGCCCCCTTGTGTACATATGCCGGCCGCCTGTCTTCAATTGGGTATACAAACGCCATGGCGTCTCGCTCTTTCATTGTGACCTCAACTTGGATGTGGTGGCTCTCCCGTGTCTTGTCGCGACGTGCTGTGAGGTCAATACTAATGTTCCAACTCCTAGAACGCTCATCCCAACACTTTCTGATAAGATAAGGACTGAGCATTGCTGGGAAAGGGTTGTAGCCTTCAGAACAGCCTGAGTGTGACGATGCACTCAAGCGGACGCCGGCACCGCCTGGTACGAGGGAGTCAAAATCAAACTTGTTGCTTGGATCCTCCTGCTTATCGACAATGTAAAGAAAGACTTCACTGACGTACTGAAGATTGACCAAAGCAAAACCAATGAAATACTGGTCTGTGCTGATGGATGTATAATCAAACTGCTTTAGATTCCACAGCTTTTCCATGCAACCTAGTCCGGTGAAAGTCACCTCAGCTTGGATGGGCTCCCGCCAACGCCCGTAAACGTACCCGTTTGTTACGGAATCATACAGCGGTGGCTCACCGTTCTGAACAGCCATGTCGAAACGGTGACGCCAGTAGTGTGTCGCTTGGCCGTCGTGGCCTCGCTCCATTGACATGTGCACAGTAAATGCGACCACCACCACTGCCAGTGAGCTCCACATAGCCTTCATGGTGTCTTTTATGCATGAAGCCCTTCTTGGAGCTGAGGACAAGTTTGTGCAGACACATGCAGACTGCTCGTCCTTGCTGGTTCTGACTGGAGTTTCAGGGTGTTCGAGTCTGATTGCAGTACCATGCACACGATCGATGCTATGCAAAGCAAGACAAGTGGAACTGAGCCACAAAGTGCCATCGCAGACTTCCGAAACTCCAGGTCAGGGTTCTGTGCTTTCCGCAGTGAGACTCATCTGTGGGAGTCTGCATCGTTCTAGCAAGAGGCTAGACCGAGAGGTCTGAGAAGAGGGGCAAGAAGACTTCTGGAAGAGCAACAGCACTCACGCAGCAACTACAACAGCAACTTCTCTCGAAGGAGCCCTCCTCCCTGTCTTGTCTTGTGGCCTCCACGACAGCCACGGGCTCGTTGGCGAAGTCCACCGCTTTCACGGGCTCCGCAGCTGGCAAATGTGCTCAGATAACACAAACATGTCGAGGTAGCTAAACTCTAAACCCCAAACCTAAACCCCTAAACCCCAAA